TGATTGAGAAGATTTGAGGCGAAGTAGCCCAGCTAAAGGGGAAAGTCAGCCGCCTCGAGCTTGGAATCACAGAGCGGGACAGCCAACTAACTTCTTTGGAAGGGGAGGTAGAGTCTAAGAGGCGCCTCAAGGAGGCGGTTGAGGAGGACGCTCGATCGAGTCGTCTCTCGGCTAAGAAACTTAGGCTAGACCTCAAGGAGCGATCGGCTCGTCAGGCGTCTGCGACAATTGTCAAGAACCTTGAGGACCGGCTAGCTCACCTGGACTCGGAGCAGCATAGGGTGGAGGTGATTGACAATTGGTGTTAGGGCCCCTTGGGTAAAACTGAGGTAGCTTTAGCTTACAAGGCTGGTGTTGAATACCTAGCCTCGCTACTCCCTCCTGGCTCTTTTCCCCCACCTGATCGCCTTTACCCTCCCCGAGTCTCTTGTTTCCTTGACTTTCTAAAGGAGATTGAGGTGAGTGGAGGGTTGGAATTGGCTTTGGATGATAGGGATGATGAGTCGGAAAACGCCCTTGGAGGGGACCCTGCCACTTCTACTTCTGTTGCTCCCGCTCCCGAAGCCCCTGTTAACGACCTCCTAAGCCCTACTCTCGGATCTGGCTGAAAGATCTGATAGCTTGTATCTTTTTTTCTTTTGTAAATATCGACATGCCTTTTGTAAACAATGACATGGATATTGTAATGAGCTTTGTAATGAAGTTTATTACAAACTTTGAGACTTGGAATAAAGATTGACTTTTCCCTTATTCTGGAGTGTGCCTTCATTTATTCCTTATTTTTTCTTTACTAGCTTGTAGCTTTGTTCTGATTGAGAGAACCAAGTGTTGCTTGTAGTGAATCGGTCGTATTAGGACGACCCAATTGTTGAGTGGGTCGAGACGACTGGCTCATTTTGCGCCTCATGTTGGCGAAGTGTCCGGTCTTTGTTCCCTTATTCTGGAGTGTGCCTTCATTTATTCCTTATTTTTGCTTTACTAGCTTGTAGCTTGGTTCTGATTGAGAGAACCAAGTGTTGCTTGTAGTGAATCGGTCGTATTAGGACAACCCAATTGTTGAGTGGGTCGAGATGATTGGCTCATTTTGCGCCTCATGTTGGCGAAGTGTTTGGTCTTCTGTCGACAAAGACTGGCAAATTGAAGCGTCCAAGTCTTTTTGTCGAAGATGACCGAACGATTGAACTTCATGCCTTGGGTTTATTTATAATAACATTGAGGTTGGGTGCCCAGGACTTACGTAGATGCCTGGAGCTTTGGTAGATTGGCAATCCTGAGGTTGGGTGCTCAAGACTTATGTAGACGCCTAGGGCTTTTGGACTGCCATAATGGTCGAGAGGTGAATATAGGAGTCAACCATATGGTGAGTGCATTGGGTTTATCCTGAGAAGGCACCAAGGGCTTAAAATTCAACCGAGGTTGAATGCCTAGGTCCTCCTTGAATGCCTAGGTCCTCCTGAGGACTTCTAGGTATTTCGCCCTACTAAGGACCGTCCTGATGGCAAAATGACAAAATGACAACCCTGAGGTTGAGTGCCCAGGACTTAAGTAGACGCCGGGGGCTTTTAGACTGCCATAATGATCGAGAGGTGAATGTGAGATTCGACCATATGGTGAGTGCCTTGAGTTTATCCTGAGAAGACACCAAGGGCTTAAAATTCAACCGAGGTTGAATGCCTAGGTCCTACTGAGGGACGTCTTGTTCTTTCGCCCTACTGAGGGCCGCCCTAATGGCAAAATGGTTAGTGCTAGAGCCAACTGAATGACGAGTGTGCCTTGGGTTTACCCTGAAAAGGTACCAATGGCTTAAAAGTTCTTGCATAGATTTGGCACTACGGGAGTGCGAAACATGAGTCAAGTCAGTTTCGATAATAATTCCATTAATATTGAATGCAATTTACATAATTTATTGAAAATATCTCCCTAGGTGCTCAATATTCCAGGGATGTTGGAGGACTCACCCGTGTAGGGCCCTTCGTCGATAGGTGTCTGGTCGCAGCTCTTCAAGAACTGTGTATGGGTCTTCTAAATTTGGGGCTAGCTTGCCTCTTTGGGTGCTTTTCAGAAGAAGCTTTGCGGAGGACTAGGTTGCCAACGTTGAATCTCCTAAGTTAGATTTTGTTGTTGTAGTAACGGGCGATTCGTTGCTAATTGGTGACCTGGGCCCGGGACGCTTTCTCTCGGGTCTCATCTAGGAGATCAAGTCCGATCCGAAGCCCTACTGAGTTCACATCCTCGTCAAAGTGTTATAGTCGAATGGTCGGCAGACCTACTTCAACTAGAGTGACTGCCTCGGCGTCATAAGCTAAACTAAAATGGAGTCTCCCAGGTTGAGTTCTTGTCGGTCGTGTGGTACGACCAGATGATACTAGGCAACTCTTCAACCCAGTTCCCTACTACGGCGTCCTCCTTCTTCTTCAATGTTTGGAGGATGCACTTGTTGGCAGCCTCTGTAAGTCTGTTGGATTTGGGCTAGGCGACGGAGAAGAACTTGAGGTGAATGTTCTATGCCTCGCAAAAGTTGTGGAAACCTCCGCTATCGAACTGGGTGCCATTGTCAGTCACAAAGGACCAGGGCACGCCAAAACGGCAGACAATGGACTTCCATACAATTCTTGTGACGTTACTCTCACCAATCTTAGCTCATGGTTCGGCTTCGATTCATTTGGTGAAGTAGTCGATCGCCACAATAAGAAACTTCCTCTATCCCGAAACTAGGGGAGAGGACCCAGTAGATCTAACCCCCATTGAGCAAATGGTATGGGATTCGAGAGGAAAGTGAGCTCGATAGCCGCTGCTCGTGGGATGGTTGAGTAAAACTGACACTTCTTGCATTGAGAGACGAGTCGCTTTGACTCAGCCAATATAGTAGGCCAATAGTACCATTTTCGAATGACTTTCTGTGCAAGGGTTCGGGCCCCTGGATGGTTTTCACATGTGCCCTCATGAATCTCCCTGAGCACATAGTTAGCCTTTGGTGGCCGAAGGCACCGCAGATAGGGTCTTATACCGTTGCTGAAGTATAACCTTCGATAAAGTTGTCTCTCGATCATAAGCTAGAGGCGAGAGATGAGGTTCTTCAAGTACCCTCTGTCAATCAAATCATCGATATCCCTTTTAAGGATATGGCTTTCATTGGTGAGATAGCCGTGATCCTTGCGGTTCTTGGGATTCGACGTCATCTTAGGAGTAGGCTCCTTGAGGTGTCCCTCCTTCTAAACCATGGTGAGAGCTGTTGCGAGGGAGGTATTGAGGACTGTGAGAGCTGGTCTTGGCGGTTGGTCCCCCTGTCGGTCTCTCCTGTTGGACCGATTGGAACAGGAGTCAACTCTCGGTGGGTCTCTTAGCCACTACTGCCTTGCAAGGAGGCCTCTGGCCGACTCTGGTGTCGGTGCCACCGCTGGTGCTGCCTGGGCTCCAGACCTGTCCCGAGCTGGGTGCTATGTGCTCGGCGGCTAACGCTGTCGAAGCTGTGGCTATGGAAGTCTCTTCAGCCTTGGATGACGCCTTGTAAGCTCAGGCATCCTCCATGTCCATATACATATGAGCTTTGGCCATTAGTTGCTCATAGTTGGCGACAGGCTTCTTAGAAAGCGAGTCAGCCAACTCATTACTCTGTAAGCCGACCACGAGGGCGGACATGGAAACTACACTCCTAGGCTCGTTGACCTCCTGCCTCTTCGCCTGGAATCTTTTCAAGTAGGCTCGAAGGCTCTCTCTGGGCCCCTGCCTCATCTAAATCAACAAATGAGGGGGCAGGTTCTGCTTAGTGTCAGCCAGGAAGTGGTGGGTGAACTTCCGTCTGAGTTGTTGGAAACTACTGATGAACTTCTTCTCAAGAGCGATTCACCAAAGCTTGGCACTCCCTGAAAGAGTGATGGGGAAGCATCAACAAATGACTGCTTTCGATGCTTGGAGCATGCTCATTACGTCATAGTAGATCTGAACATGCTCGGAGGGATCTCCCTTGTCATTATACTTCTACATATGAGGCATCTTGAACTTCTCACATTGAGCTCTCATAAGATCATCTGAGAGAGGGGTGTTCCCCCCGATGGCTTCTACAATCGGTTTGTACACCCGATCGTACCCAGAAGCTCCTACAGTGGGAGAGAGTTGGAGAGGCATGATGGTAGGCGTGGGTCTTAGAGACCACTCTCCTCGTACGATCTCCAGGGTGACTTGGGCCGGGACTATCACCGGTAACTTGCTGATGATGGAGAAGGCGTCGACGAGGTTCGCCAACACGAGCCGATCGATGAGGCAGCGAGGTCGCATGCTCAAAGCGACCCGTCAACTGCTTGACCCGTCAACTTAAAAAATAGGGCATTTATATGTAAAAAAAAAAACTTAGGCTATGTAAGGGCAACGTCATGAAGGTGTTTAAGTGCTATTTAGCTGTAAAAGAATGGTATAATCTCATGAAGGTAGAAGCTCTACGTAATGAGCATCTCTCATTAGATAACTACAACTATAGGCGGTGTATGACATTTAGCAAATCTGCATCTTTAAGATCTTTTTGTTTTATCTGTTAATTGACTTGTATAAATGCTAATGAACCTTTCTAAAATTCTGATGAGAATTTTCTGATATTCGACTCTTTACAAAGCCAAATACAGGTTTATGTTTCTGATTGGTTTATATAGGTATCAGCTCCTTCTCTTGTGATTGGTGAACTAGGATTTCCACATGCATTATATAATATTTGATAAAGAAGGAGAGGTTAAAGTTTTCCATCATACAATTGTTGTTACATCCTGTTCTTCTGAATCAAAACTAGATGTGTTCTGAATTAATCTTTTTTATAACATTTTCAACATGTAAAATCTCATGCATGCATATAACACATGCACACACAAATGCACACAAAGGCATCCACACAGACAGTGTACATATAAGATAAGTGCATGCATGCAGACACACAATCATGGATGAATATGGATACCTCTAATGTATAAAAACCATATGTTTATTCTTGTTTTTTTTCATATTTGTAATTTCAGTATGAAGTCAGTGATGGATAGATACAGCAACATGAAGGACGAGCAGCAACAACAATCAGTGAATGCCAACTCAGAGGTTAAGGTATATAATTTATATTCAGATTTTGGACAATGTTTACAGCACCACTGGTTATGCTTTATGCAAAGCATTGAATTTTTACTACTCGACAAACTCAAGCTATGTTATATATCTTAATAAATTATCTATAGGATATAAAACAAAGGAAACAACAGGAAGCTCACGACCCTATCACACATTATAAGTTTTAACTAGGAAATAGTTTCAGAACAGGAAATGAAATACTACGGGAAGAAATTAAACTCTTTTACAAATAAGAGATACATACCTAGATACTCTTCACAATGTGCTAGTCTCGATTATGTCAGATAAAACCATGATCGCGAGTATACAATGAAAATGCTAATGGTTATCCTTTTCTCTTAACATTTGTTTCACCGTGCAAATAATAACAGGTCAAGAAGCCAAGCTTGGTTATTAGAAACGCTGTGTATAAATTTATGAAGGTACTTCCATATACCAATAACATGCATTTTTTATTTCCTGAAGGCCTTAAATACACCAGTTTCTATACCAGAAGGAAGGTCCCAATATACCTGATACATTTACGAAAAACTGATCCAATATACCAGAGAGAAATAAAAAGGCTTGACAAGAAGTATGTCATATTAAAAACCTAGACCAGTCTGTATATTTGTATACATACTTATCCCACTGGATCTTGACTTCATTTGTGATCGCCTGGAGGTTCAACATAACTGAAATTTCATAACTGAGGTCTGTAGCTAAAGCATTAGCCTTACAAGTGCTTGATACTTCTGATAATAGTAATCATTAAAGAATGTTCCACTACTATTCTTTTCAGGTTTAGTTCAAAATCTTACTTGAAATTAATTAGCTAGCATAATATGTACGTATATTGTATAAACTAAATGGTTTTCTCTATACTCACTAGTTCTGGCAGGGGGAGGCATCTAGCTTGAGACAGCAACTTCAAAGCTTAAAAGACCATCACCGGTATCATTCTTCTCCCTATTATGTAAAATAGTATAGTGTCAGATATATATTACATGTGATTCTGAAAAGGAAGTGCAAAAAACATAGATATCAAGATCATGGAAGTTACTCCAGTGGTGGTAGGATACATTATTTTCGTACCAGGTACCATGATTTATGAAAATACAGAATAGCTATCATTGAAGTGTTGGGAAATGTCTTCACATAGAAAGTAGACTACAGATGAAGGATTAAAATTAGTATGCTTACCAGTTTGTAATGTTCAGCTATTTTAACCCTGCTTTAATTGTATTGGCGTCACAATTGTAACTTTAAGATAATAACCAAGTAACTAATTTCAACTTTTAAGCAGTAGTGGCATAGATCTGTGGAAACTGAAAATAGCAGAGCTAGTGGACGTTCAACGCAGAACCTAATGCACTTACAAACAAAAAATTTATTTAAAAAAACTAACAAGTTCAAGGATGGAATATGGATAAGACTGAAATGTGGAACCTATAAAAAGGTGGTGGGAAACATTTGCAGACACAAGGATATAGAAGTGTCGACAGAAAGAAAAAATCCAACATCAAACTTAATCAAACATCGAAATTGTTTACACATCTGAAAGGGTATAAAGATAGTGAAAGCGTTTACATTTTCTCCAGGATTTGGATATGTATAGGACATACGGTTCCATACCCATACTGATGTAGGACAACTTTCTATTGGAAAATCACAAAACAGATAAGAACAAAGTGGAAAAAAAGAAAGCTAAATTTTCTTTTAATATTAAATGTTGATTTTAGTAAAATTTCTCTTGTAGCCTTATCTATAGAACACAAATACTTAATCAGAAATTTTAATTAATTTAAGATCATTCAGATCTAATTGTCAGGAAAGTTTTACTTTGAGGATGTTTGAGGGAGCTTATTTTTTGGTGAAAGGCGCTTTTAAGCTAACTTTTTCATATCTACATGTTTGTTAAAATCCCCAATAAGCTAGCTTTTATCTCCAATTTAGAAAAGTTGGCGTTCACCACTTTTGAAAGACTAGCGTATAAGCTCACTAGAATAAGCTAGGTTTTACCAAGTAAAAGCCAAAAGCCACCAAAAGTTAACGTACCTTATAAGCTTCTAAAAATAAGTTTTACGAACACCCAGTATGATTTAGAATTCTCTTATTAAGAATTAGGTTTGTATGTTCGCAGTTTTTGAGCATGTAAAAGGCTACTTAACCTCATAAAAGGAATGGAAATATTCATGTTAATTAGATTTGTTTGGATTATGTGATGCAAACTTGGGTGTGAAGTTGTCATATTTAAAGCTGTAAGACCATAATTGGCCTGAAGTCATTGATCCAAGAATGAACTATTTGATTCAGGCATAAAGCCATCAATCATATGATATGACACAATAATTTGACTACAATAAACACAATGAATATAAATGCTTACGACATATTCGCATGAGGTGAACCAGTATGTTATACATTCCAAAAAACAGCATAAAACCTGCAAACTTCAAGCATTAGCACAAAAATTGTCCATAACTCCAAACACAATAAAGTATATGTCATCCACCTAACATTGTAAGATGTAATTATTCAGATATCCTTCCCATACCCACACATGAAACATAAGTTCTTCCCATCACTCACTAGACTGCTGCATGGGAGAATGACTAAAATGTAGTCCATGTAAACACTCTTTTCTGCAAGGACATTTTGATTTCTGTACATCCATAATCAGTGACCCTTCCAACCAACAGCATACAGTAGATATATCCCATTGGTTTACTATTATCATAAGTACTAGAGTAACTCACTCGTTATTAGACCATAATTCTAGTTTCTTCCAATAACAATCACGTTTTTAAATGGATCTCTTCTTTTTCTTCTACGCCAGTTTGTGTTTATCCTCCTGCCACAACCACATCCACCAATCAGAGCAAGAACTGATTTGCATGATCAACAATGGTCATATTTAATCCTCTAAATTCTTTCCATTCACCCATCACTTCCACATATGTAGCGTACATCACTTTGATTAATAATAGGTACCCTCTACAAGAAACGAGTAAACGGGGTCAGTGCATCCCTCCACACACTTAGCTGGCATGTTACTGATGCAGCACTCATCCATACATCCACATAGCCAAACCCACCCACACCGTAACTGACGGTCGTATTATGCTATGAAGCACCGACTCTTCAAAACCGCTGGCGAGTCCGTCTCCGACGCGCGTCGGACGCGGACACGCGTTCGACATGCGTTCAACACGCCTCGGACACGCGGTCAACGGCGCCGACACGGGTCAACGCTTCGACTCGTCGCAGACACGGGCCAAACACACGATTTCTTTCCCGACACGGCTGAGAATGAACCCTAAAAATAAGATCTGAAACCCAAACCCGAAACCCAAACTCAAACTTGAAACCCTAACCCTAGTCGTCACTCGTCAGCTCTCAAACCCAAACTTACCCGAAGAACAGCCGCCAGCTCTCTCTCTCGTCCTCGTCCTCGTCGATCATCCCCGTCAGCTTCGTCGTCATCGATCATCCAAGGTCAGTCTCTCCGATCTCTCTCTCAGTCGCTCTCTCTCTCTCTCTCTCCAATCAATCTCTCTCTCTTTTTCTCTCTCTTATCTCTTTCTCTCCCTCTTTTATCTCTTTCTCTCTCTCACCGCACAAAACCCCCGCGAACTTTCCACTTCACAAAAAAAAACCCCACGAACTCTCCACTCACCCGACAAATCACTGTTCTCTCTCTCTCTCAAAAATCACACACACCCCCACAAATTTCAAAGTCCCGCTTCCCCCCACCACGATAATTTAATATTTTAAAATTATTAATTTTTGTTTACTGTTTTACTGTTGAATGTTACTAGAGATGGTCACGTTTACTGTTGGTTGCTGGTTGGGGTGGTATTCTCGTTACTGTTGAATGCTAGTTGGGTTAGTAATTTTTTACTGTTGTATTTTTTGTTTAATGTTTTGCTGTTGTGAGTTAATTAGGGTGATAATTTCTGTTTACTGCTTTACTTTTGTGTGTTAATTAGGGTGATAATTTTTGTTTACTGTTTTAACTAGGATTGTTTAACTAGGGTTGTTTAATTTGAATGTTAACTGTTGTCATCCCGACATCTTAATTCACACCTGCAACACACACAGACACACTTTCCATTAGTTTCTTATTTATAATCCTCACTTTACATAACAAAAAATATGAAAATGTAATAGGAATTTAATTCAATATTGATCTATATATAATAATAATATTAAAAAAATCTAGTTGTGTCGTCGTGTCCTATTTTTTTGGGTTTTGCCGTGTCCGTGTCCGTGTTGCCGTGTCTGTGTCCGTGCTTCATAGGTATTATGTGTCACATCAGTCACACACAATCCCTGATTACTCATAGAAAATTTATATATTTATCTAATACTATTAAAAATATAGAAAGTAATTGTGGCAAAGAGAGAACAGCTATGTACGTGCTGAGAATAGGAAAACAATAGATAGTCAAGGATGTGGTAGTAAATAGTGGTGGTGGCGGGAGGGAGGAGGTGATCAAATGTGGAAGATGGAAAAACACGGAGTGACAGCCATAAAAGAGGAAAAGGTGGCTAGGTGAAAGTAGCAGCAGTAATGCACAAATTTGATAGGTTGAGGATTCCGTAAGAGCTGATGGAAGAATTAGGAGGGGAAAAAATTTAAATCAGGAGGTTGTTTCTTGCTTGGAGAGTGAAATTGCTCCCATGTCAACCACATGCAAGGACATGTGAATCTGAGACTGAATGATCAATAGATATAAACATGTGAAGTCATATAAACTTCATAGTATAACATATATTTTAAGTGTCAGTAAAACTTCTGCAAGGTTATTGTATAGTTTTAGCCTATATCTTTTGTGATGCTCAGGTTAATGATAATTTGTGAATTCAGCTATGTGTGGTATTTCATTGTCAAGCAGTAATTATGAAACAGTGGGAACTTAAAACAATACATGCTATGAATAGATCTGTTAGCTTTCTGTGTAATAAAATGTATAACAGTTAAAAGCAGTGAAAACATTAGGGAAATGATAACAAACAATACTATTCACATGTTTTTTATATCATGCATATTTGTGTAATAAACCCTTGCTTTCACAATGATAGGCAGTTGATGGGACAAGAGCTATCCAGTTTAAGTGTCAAAGATCTGCAAATTTTAGAGAATAAACTAGAACTGAGTTTACGCAGTATACGAACAAAAAAGGTATATTGGCATAGAGCTATGAAGTGGTTCTTTACTTAAACACTTTCTATTACTAAATATAACTTCAATTTTGCAGGAACAAATTTTCATGGATGAAATTAAGGAACTAAATCAGAAGGTCTGAACAAAAACAGTGCTCCTACTCTACGTGCCAAGATACTCTTAATACGTCTAACATCACCCTGTTTCATCACAGGGAAACCACATTCACCAAGAAAACCTGGAACTTTACAAGAAGGTTAAGTGCCTTCATGAAGAAAATATGGAGTTACATAAGGTAAGACATAAGAATCCTAGCATATATGAAGAACTCCTAAAAAGGAAAAAGGCGGAAAAAAAAGATCAGACCCTTACTTGAAAGAATGATCAGGCCTAAGAATAGAATCTTGGTTAATCCAGGTTTATGGACGAAGAGGTTTGAATGGAAGAGCTCTTATTAGCTCACATGTTATGAATGATGCTAGCACCACTGAGAACGGGGAAGCGCCAGTCCAGCATGAACTGAGCCCACCAAAGCAGCAATCACAAAAGCCACAAGCAGAAGCTCCAGAACTAGGGTAATGTTTTGCAAATCATACATTATAGGTAATTGCATCCCATATTCTCATCATGAAATTTTAATTGCAGCAGACTTCAATTGTAAGCTGATGATTCACGAATTCCATGTGCTCACTCATGATTTCCAGTAGCACTATAGGTTGGAAGAATGCAAAATCATGATACTTGATCATTATGTGATGTATGAGCAGGAGCAGGAAACATAGTCAACAGCTAAAATATGGTTCGATAAAGACAAACTAAACTATATAGTGGAAATTTATGTTGCAGTGCAATATTGATGGTTAAGGAAATTGTACATATGCACATCAGATAATTATTTGGTAAGTGGAGAAAAAAATATGACTGTTACTAATTTTATATTGTTCAGAGAAAAGAAAAATCTTCTATTTGCAGCAAAAGCATCACCATTTGCCATTCCAGTCAGTTACTAATTTTATATTGTTCAAAGAAAAGAACAATATCTTCTATTTGCAGCAAAAGCATCAACATTTGCCATTCCACCTCCCCCAACCCACCAAAAAAAGCACAAACATGAACACCTGGCATGCAAAAAGAGGAGGGGGGGGGGGGGGCAGATGAATGGTGAGAGATACTATATATCCAAACAATTATTTTTTTTATCAAAGATCATGACCCTTGCACCAGAAGTCCAGTCAGTTTAGACACCTAATCACAATATCATTAGGTGATCTACTTCTCTAATTGCCTATTTTAACGGTGCAAATTTTATACAAATGCAATTTTAAAAGAAAAGATCTTTTATTTTTATGATATAAGTATTCATACATCGTGCACCAGGCTGAAGCCAGCTATTCAAATTACTAAATTCTCCTTAACAGGATATGTTATTCAGATTGTTGAAAAGACAATTAGTCCTGGAAAATGAACATAAAAACAACGTGAACTGGTAGTCACAAGGTAACTACAAATTATAATGGAATCTCTCCTCGAGAGAAGTAAACTCAAAACTCCTCTCTGTAGGAAATTTGTAAAGATGTCTAGACTATATAATGTCTTGCTACTAGGAATAGCCACGAAAATCCATGCAGCTTGATCCACGAACTCAAACCACAATTATGATATCACAAGGTAGCTTACTATCCTTAGAAGATAGAATAGACAACGGACAAGAATTATTAACCCCCTCACGATCGATAAAAGCCCACTCATTCCTAAACTCAAACTACAAGGCAAAAGAAATGAGCATTATTAACTCCCTACACAAGTTCAATCTACAAGGCAAAAGAAATGAGGGTACAGGTAAAACAAGACAGAGACAAGATGATATGGTAACTTTCAAAAAATAGGATTCGACCTGGTATGTATGGGAAAACTATTTCAGACATACCAATATTTTCAAATACAGATGCATTATGCATACTCTATAATAAACTTCACATATTTGTTATGAGTTACTTTTCATTTTATGTAACATGAATTTCTTAAAAGAGCACAATTTCTTCCATGTTGTGAAATATTCTCAAGTAATATAAATAACTAGTAATATGGACAATCATATCCTTTTTAATAAATTGGAAAAATACATAAACTTAATGCATTTGCAAATTGAATAGAATTCCATTATCACTATATTTGTAATTTCTAAAACTTTGATTATTGAATATATTTAAGATACACTTTTGGTATATATATGACACATGCCCAGTCTTTGGCTGCTCAACAGGAGTATCTGACATGTAATCCATCACGAGTAGTGTTGGAAGTATCAAATATGTACTCGATATCAGTATGTTAAATATCTAGACTATGTAACTCCCAATAATAATGCTTCAAGGAAAAACGATTCACGATAGTTATGGACATTTGATGTAAACTATTAACGATAGTGACTTATTCAAATCCTTCTTTCATTACCTAAGACAATTATATTCTAACTAATCTGGAGTGACCTTGTTTGACAATACAGTTGTCTTGTTATCTTGTGTGTGTGTGGGCGCAGGTTCGTGAGTTTTTATAGAGGGGTAACTGATCAGTTTAAGAGCAAAAGTCAGGGCTGAAGCACATGTAAGAAGACCGAACTCTGCCTGATTCATGCCTAGCCTTAATATTTAACTTCTAGCCCACCACACTATTACAAGGTCAGTAAACTATATTACAAGAACCAACAATCCAACATAAAGATTTGACCACCAAAATTAAAAATAAAATATAACCAATATTAGCATTCTTTTGTTTAACTGCTACACCATTTTGACACTTCTACAGTCATTATGTAACAGAAAATTAGGAATGAGTAGCAAAACATTTAAGTTTTTAATAAGATGCTTGATTTTTTTGACATTTTCTAGGAATAAAAATGTGGACTAATTCGATTATTTAAACATAATATTTATAACTTGGGAGTTTTGGACTCATATTCTGCTAAACAGCTACTAGAAAATATTTGTTCATTGTAGTTCCATCTGTACGAGCTCCAAAATGTTTGCAAGTTACTTAGAACTAAATGGGCTTAAGCAGATGGTAAGAATAAGTCAATAACACACCTGGAGATTACAATGTATATACATGGAAGTAACAAATGATCTCTCTCAGTATTTACATAAAAAGTTCCAATTACTTTTTCATCATGTCATTTTCTATACACAGGCACTCTTCAATCCCAAGAATCTTTCTCCACACCTGTGTATAACTCAAAATGTTCTAAGATTATTAAATGAAAGCAGTTATAAAAATTAAGAGTGCATATAATTTCATGAAGTTCACAGTTAAAGAGCTCACAAAAGCTCAAAAGTTGATAAATCAGTTTAATAGGGATTTGTCAGAGTGTAAGAGTGTAATGGAGTTGAGTGAAGAAGTAGTGAAAGCTTTTGAGGCTGGAATCTCCTTACTAACAATGCAAAGAATGAAGAGTACATTTCAAAGGAGTCATATGAATACGGATCAGAAACCCAATAAGAGGCCGAAGCAGTTGCGGATAGAGGAACCGAACCCAAATGATAAAAATATATGGAGATTTTAGAGTGAAATTATGCTAGAAATAAAATTGTTTTATATTTTTACTTTTCAATTTTACTTGAAAATAGAAGGGGACAAAATTTGAAGAATGTTGTAGTAACTAATTCTCCCTTTGGTGAGGGCTGTCAATGGAGGAAATATGGACAGAAGACGATAGGACATTCTAAGCATCCAAGGTATGTATATACTAAAAAAAATGTGAATATGATTGCTATTATTAGAATTACTACTGCCTCCTTACTGCATTTCCGTCTTATTAATCACTAAGCTCATCTCAATAAAAATGTTAGAAATTAAATGAGATTATAACCCTCATCATAACTTTGGAATCTTGGTGTGGTGGAAGAACTCTTTGTCATGCATGGTACCAAACTTCAGAGCTTTATTGTCGGGAAAGGGTCTTTTATTATGAAATCGGAACACTTCAGTTGCTCACCACTAGGCACATATTTAGAAGGCAGATTAAAAAAGATATTTCAAAGTCCAAATTTTCAATTCGTGAAAAGGACTTTCAACATACTTGGACATTTTAGAGCATAAAATTATAATTTTAGGGCGGGTAAGGCCTAATACCGGAGATGGACTAGATTAATCTACTTGGGCCTAATTGATTCAAATGGATCAATCCTACTTTAAGCCATGAGTCCAAGCATATTTAACTACTACATCTTACTTCAGATGTGATACTAAGTCCTACATCATGTCCTTTTTAAAACCAAACTCACACTTAATTCAATGGATGTGAGCCACTTTCTACAAATCTCCACCTTGGCTTAGATCTAGCCAAGTCCAAACTAAGCCCCTACTAGGTGGTTGCTAATGGAGATAGTGTTCATGCCTTCCATATATATGACAACATGTGCACCCAAGGGAGCTCTAACCCATGTTCGACCAAATCACATTAGATCAAGTAATGTAACCATCTAATTCTATCTTATTCTCTTTCCAAAAATGTACTAAATCCTACTACATCATTCTCCAAACGAAACTAATGTTAGTCAACCAAATAAATGGCATAAAGTACTTCTTAACAGAAGATTCCTTTAACAAGATATTTTCATGTTTCTATCATTGATTATAAAATCAAGAAAGAACAAAAAAGAATACACATTGTATTGTTAGTTAGGTGATTGCAGGATTAGCCCAAATCATTCAAGTAACTATATTTAGGCACTGTCAGCAATTTTACCTTTTTTTTACAAAGAAGAGAGATAAAGAGGGGTGAGAGAGAGGTGAGAAGAAATTGCCATGTATCTTTACAATGGTTATTCAGAACTAGGTTGCAAGAATACGGGTGCAGGTGCGGATGCGAACACAGGACACGACAAATTTATAAAAGGCAAGATACGACCACATGGATACACACATATGTATATATACAATATTTACATTAGATCATATATTGAATTAAAATATCCAAAATATTTATATTTTTCTTTCACTATCTATAACAATTAAGAATCAACTTAAATCAAACTTAGAATTAAGGTTTAACAACAAAACTTTCGTTTTGATCGCATGGGATACAATGGGTATTTTTCAAATATTTAAGTAACGGTTTTGATTTTCGGGTTCAAGGACCTATTGGTTTTGAGCTAGATATATCCAAGAAACTAGTTTAAGTTATAGGTAATAGGCAAATCGAGTTTTTCTTTGAACCACGCTAGTCCATGATGTGTCTGTCATGAATCTGCGTCTGATACATGCCTAATATGAATAGTCATCCAAAACAAAGTGTGTGGGTAACCTAGCTTCAAAAGCTACCAAAGCAACATTGACTACTTATCAAAGTGCAAGGGCATTATGTAATTACAAGGATATTACTGACCCCCCTTCATCACTTCATTCCAAGGTTAGCAAACAAAGAATAAAGGAGGGGCATAATTGTCCAAACAACAATTTACACAAAATCAACGAGCTCTTAGGGCCTTTTTATAGATAGTGATTACTAATTTGTGAAAGAAATGTCTAATGGGCTTCGTCTGATTCAATCTCAATAACTTTAGCCTTGTAGGCCATATCCAACCAATCAAATGGTAGCAATATAATACACGACTTGCATTTTATTGTGCCTAGCAACTAACATTAGTTCCCACTGATTTAATAACCAATGTAGACAAATTAAGTTCTACCAACTTAATAAACCAATTCGCGGAATCAGTTCTCAAGTTTCTCAAGGGGATAGGTGATGTCTGTTCTAGGAGATCAGTAGCCACCTGACATCGATGTGTCAATTTGTAAGTGGGTGAGTGGTTATATACTTGAAAAATAAGTCAAATGAATACCTAAATTTTATCTAGCATCTGGACTTTGGTCATTTGAGTTGTTCTTAGAGAATAGTATTGAATTAAATAGTGCAAGGGTGATTAGAAAGTGAGAATTTCAAATTGTTGAAAGGGTGGTACTGAGTTTCATTTAAAGGGTAGAGAGTTCATAAAATAATATTTAAGAGTGTGGTTGATAGTAAGAAGCAGTGCTCTGCTTATCTACTGAGTCGCTTCTTATAAACCTCCATTCTTATATACCTCCATTGACAAGCAAAAAAGAGACAAACATACAATTTAAAAACTTCACATTTTAGGTAAATATTCTCATCCCTTGTTATATTGTAGAGAAATTTTATTTATTTGGTACTTGTTAACTATATGAGTTTATATTGATTTCAAGTACTAGATAAATTCTTAGAAAATAATTTCCACTGTTTTCTTACAAATATTAAATCAACACGGTTACACAATATTTTTATATGAAATAAATCGATGAGTATAACTAGTTTTGTACGAAATATTTTTATATGAAATAAATCGATGAGTATAACTAGGATTGTACGAAATAAACCTTATTGTTCAAAATAAGAATACATCAAATAACTATTTGCTTATTATTATTCTTATTGATATCTTTATATGAAAATAACTATGGATTCAATTGACAATTTGTGTGATAATTATTGCTATATACCCTTTCTAATTAATAATAATTGAAGTATAATTGTACATCAAATATTTTATAACAAGTAGATGTCAGCATTTTAGATAAGGTTTTCTCTCAAAGATATGAATGACAATTATTTATAGGAATTTAATTACCAACAATATGGCACTATTTTAGAAGGTTTATGTCGGCGCTTCTATTGATTTAAAGGAATTTATAAATATTATTGAAATATAAGTGTGACCAAAACATCTAGCCACTAGGGATTGTTGTTACACTCATTGAACTCAAGCAGGAAACTAGTGGGTTATTGATATGAATGTGGATTACTTATTTGGACCTCTTAGTGAAGTTCAATGAAGTTTTATCAAGACCCTGTGGAGGCGCTCAAAGGGGTTTTGTTGGGAAGTCCGTGAAGATTATTAAACTCATGTGATTTACTGAATCATTACTGAACTGCTACTGTATTTGTTGGGTAACACCATCAGGGATTACTAGACACTTGGCTAATATAACATAATAATACCTATTAAAATAACAATAGAAGACAATGGATTACATGATTTACTATAATAACTGAAGTATTTTGATAAAACTGATTGGCATTGATCTATTGTAAATCTGATTTTGACCTAGAACTTAGTTATTTTGGTTATAGACAGTAAACATTAAATTAATTTTATATTGATTATATTAATTGCATGATTACTCTTTGAGCCATCTTCTATTTGGATTAAAAGATTTAGGCTGTTTTCACTAATTTTGTAATTGTGTTTTCTACAAACTTAGGATTTAGGAAGTCGATGGATTACTTATTGAGTAGTTGTACTAATGTAATTCTATTGTTATTTTTTTAGAATAGTTCACTTCTAGATCATGCATTTTTCAAGATCAATTTTTGAAGGTGACTTTTGCTAGGCAAGGCAATATGGTAAAGCCGTTGACCTCATCAACGATAAGATACTTGTTTGCATATGTATTGCCTAATATGAAATTTTAAAGTTATCAATTTATATTTAATAGTTAGTATATGACTGTAAGATTGTTACAGAATTTTAAATAAGGTCATTTCGATATCTGTCTTTGAATTTTTTATAATTTGATATTAGTCCCCTAAATCATTTAAATTGCTATCAGGCCCCCTTAAATCTTATAAATGTTTTGAAATTAGTCTTTCTATCAAGATAAACATCCAAAAAGTTAAACATGGTCAGATTGATGCTTAACCTGGGTGGTTAATTACCAAAATATGCTCACTAATAGGACTTTATATCGTTCAATAAGTGACCAACTATTACAAGAGTGGATTTTTATAAGGAACTAGCCAATGGAAGCGATCCAAGAATCATGCAACCCTATTTGCACCCATCTTCAAAGATTTGCTTGCCTACGTTTACTCTAACCTTTATCCTAAACATTATTTAAAATGAGGAGTTGATGCCTTAAAGATGTCATTCAAGAGCACAATGAGAGAGCGGAGAGAGAAAAGAGATGGATGGCCAATAAATCAAGAAGCAACGATGGCACTGGTGGGAGATAGAGAGAATTGTTGTCGTAGCCAACAGTGATGAAGCAAGGGTGGTGATTTAGTAAAGGTTCGGAGAAAATAAGGTTTTAATTGGCTTTGATCTTTAATGACATGGTTATATGGTGTTAACAGCTACAAGTTAAATGAGTTGTGGGTTTGGGTTTGTAACTATAGACACACAAAAAATTCACGCCTCAGCCAGCCACAAGTCAAGTTAATTAAAAAGTCTTCCAATTTGATGGTGTTGCCACTGGCTCAGTTAAGTCTTGAAAGTGAAATTGACTTGAGAACACTACTCCTCACATAATTTAAACTCCTCTGAGGGCATATGAACCATCTCGATTAATCTAATCAATATATTAGTATGATCATAGGCATTGGCAAGAACATGTAACTTGAAGATATTCACCCCTCACAAAAGCCAAATTAAATTTCTACCTGAGAGGGGTACATAGATCTCCACTTATAATTAGAAAAAGACAAATATGATGAGCACAAGTGATATGAAAGGCAAGGAAAGGCAAGTTTGTTGTGATAAGCAATTGCAAGAGATGGTTTTGATAAAGGAGTTACCATAGGGAGTCACCATAACTCCTCCGTCAACTCCTTTTCAACATTTGGCGACAACTTCGCCCTAGTCTTCCCTACAAATAGATGCCGCCTTTTGCCGTTCAAGGGGACACGAAATAGAGAGATACTGAGAGAAATTTAAAAGAAAGAGAAAGTTACAAGTGTGCAAGAGAAGACAACAAGATTCTCGGTACTTCTTTTTAGAAATAGAAGGGCTTCAGAACATAGCCTGGAGACCTAAGATCCCATCCCTTTCTCCCTTTCCTTAAAATTTTGTAATACATTAGAAAGATAATAAAATCAATCAATACACTCTTATGCATTTTCTTTTCATATTTGTTTAATCTTTGCTTTCTACTAACTAGGGATGTCTTTTAATATGAGTAATTAACAAGAAGAAATTGATTCCTAGAAGCATGCAACCTGCCATTTTATAATCGAAGTGAATTTTGAGGGATTGTTATACCCTCTTTGAGATTGGTGTGACGCGACATGGTCAGGAGGATATTAGTCTGCCTAAATATAATTTTTCTTGTGATGAATACTAATATATATCTAAACAATAAATATTTAAGGATTGCTCTACTCTCTTTTGAGATTGGTGACACAACTTTGTCAAGAGGAGATTAGCCTATCCAAATATAATATCTCCTATGATGGATTTTAATTTTTCTTAAAGAACATGTTCATAGACCATTATGATGTCTACAGCAACAAAAGGGGTATAACTGTCAATCCACCCTAAAAGTTTAACGGAATATTCTCCTTACTTTCAGATTGCAACTAACTAGGGTGACTAATTCGAACTAAAATAATACTAATTCACATAAAAGCAAGGTTTTAAATATCGGATATCGGGAAAATATCGGATGGCCAAAATTCATATCGGATTGCGGATATCGAAGAAATATCATGGATATGTGGTAAATATCGGAATGCCATAATAAATATTTGCATACATAGTATAATGCATTAAAATGTAATCTAAACATATGTAATGAAATTTAAGCATACAAAATATGAATAATATATGTTTAGGATCACTAATCAACCTTCTAAAACAACAAAAGTACAAAGCAACGTTACAACATCCAACCTGCTTTTTTTAGGGCAAAATGTTATTTGATATAATGGGGTAATCTTGATATCTCGCCCAAAAATTCCAAACACATTATATTATTTTGCAACAAGCTATATAAAAAGATATATTGGTCCACATATCGGCAAATATATCGGTCATATCGGGGATTTATCACTCAAAATAGCCAAAAAACGGTAAATGATATTTAAAGATCATATCGGTTGCAGCAAGCCCTGTGAAAGGATATATCGGGGGATATATTGGGCGGCCATGTCGGGGATATTTAAAACAATGTATAAAAGGTCAAGGTTGTGGAAAGTAGAAAGCAAACCGAAGCAATAAGGTACTATTAAGGTTTTTTTTGTGCTTAAGTGGGTCTTAAGAAAAAAAACCACCAAGTCAAATTCCTTTTTTTTTTAAATAGGCATAAAAATTCAAAAAAAAGAAAAATCACCAACTTAAGAAGCACGCAAAAAATAAAGGGAAATTTAAAATGCCTTTAAACTATGCAAAAGTATGATGTGAGACAATGTAAAAGAAGAACTAAAACTGAAAGTAGAGACAAAAGAGTATTTTTATTCTGTCAATCAACAATCTAAAAATGAAATATATATTCTCAATTTAGTTGGAGCGCTGGAAGCATCTAGGACAAGAGTAGGTTCATATGAGTTAAAATAAATAATTAGTTCCTAGGTGATGCACTATGATGCCTGTTATTATTAAGAAATTCCTTTCTAAGGTCTAAGTTGCTAAATTGCACTCTGCAAAGGTTAAGCATTAGTTCTTAATGGATACCACAGCCATTATCGGGTGATATGTTGAGCCGCTTCCTGTAAGAACATGGACATGTTTTCTAGAGTATTCACGAATACTCAGACGAGGCTGTGCATTGTAAGAGCACTCTCGTAGGGGCTAACAATTGTTGACTCTGAAAGTAGCTGGCATCATAATGTTGCACAAAGAAATATTCTCCAATGGATGTGATCTACTCTTAACTATGGCGTATTGGTAGTCTCAATCACACCATGAAAGCTCCTTCTCCTTAAAAGTGTAATTCAATTTACATTGTAGCAATCCTTCATTAGTTTTACAGCAAGGGCTGTTCGAAATAACGAGCATTCTTAAGGCTTGTGAAGAATTAGTCAGTTAGTTACTCGGTTTGTTTATAATGAGATTATGAGGGTGTTAGATATAGGTGCCCTGCAGGCAATAATTGTATATTATAACAGGACTTATATGAATATAACATTCATGTTCAAAATGATAGTATGCTATTTTGGTCAGATTTATCTGGTATTTTAATACAGATAAAGTCCTTAGAAATTTATCTGGTATTTTAATACAGATAAAGTCCTTAGAATGATACTAGACTATCAGACATTTCGTATATGATCGTAATGAAGAGATCTGATTTGTCGCTAACATATATTCTAAAATGTTCCTAGTCGATGAAGTGTTGAAATGGGACATCATCACTTTGGGAAGACTAGTGTATACTTTATTTTTCCTTTAATAGGATGATGATCTATCTCTTAGATTATTGATGTGAGACATCAAGATATAGTATACAGGTGACTCATTAGTGAATGAGTTGACTGAATGACTCACTGAGAACATCTAGTTGATAATTATACTTAACTGTCAAATAAAAGTTCTCAAGTGATATAGTACATAGTAGTCTCTTGACCTGAGGCATGAGTGTAATATCTTACATGTCAGTATAGGTGTACTTAGACTTTTACCTAACCACAATTCTCATTGAGTTGTGCATAACGGTTCTTGTTGGGTGCATCCCGAGACATAAGTAGATATTAAGATGCCAAGATGAGATTCGTCTCTCCCAGTATAAGGGGTTGATGTCATAAGATTGTTTGATATAACTATAGCCAGAAAATCCTTGATCGAGGTAAATAAGATAAACTGAGTGTCAGTTTGATCTTATAAGTTATGACTTTAATATCAACAAACACTAATCGAGCTATTAGGATTTGACAGTTTTTCATACCCTAGCCTCGATAGTTTGACATTGTTTGACGAAGAGACCAGACTATACAATATTATCACTGAATGGTCCTGATAAAATTATGTTAGCATATTGCAGACATTTATCACAACTTATACCCAGGTAATCTTCATGTGTAGCTAGCACCTCTATTGTACTTGTGGATATCATCCACTGTAGAGTTCTTAAGTTAGGCCCTAGAGTCACACCAAGTGCGTACTTAAATCCTATGAAACACAATTTATAGAGTAACGCGTATGATTAATACGCATATATGATTTTACCGGATACACATAAACAATTATGTATATCAGTAAAATCGAAGTGCTATGTGCTTAGGAAATGAATTCCGGTATTTTTCCATAAAGTTAACTTTTAGTCAACTAGTTGACTTTTTTGTCAACAGTTGACTTTTGGTCAACTAATTAATTTTTTGATCATATGATGACTTATTAGTCAATGATTAAAAAATTACGAAATATCGTATTTATGAAATACCGTATTAATGTGGTATTTTTATTTATAAAATACACACTTTATTATACCTTGATTAATGAGTCATGAGATGAGTCATTAAGGTGGTATGGTTTGGGAACATGGTTTTAGCACATAGTTTTGATTCTTAATGACTCTTTGCATGACTTATGAGATGAGTCATTGCATGACTCATGAAAGGAATCATTACATTTAGATGACTCATGGCATGACTCATGAGATGAGTCATGACATATCTCACTCTATATATATGAGCTCTCTCTCTTATGAAAAAATTAATGAAAAATTAGCTAAGTGATTTTTTCCATAAGAGAATAAAAAAGAGAGCTCTACCTCTTACTAAACTCTAGCAATCTTTGAGTAAGAGTAAGTAGTAGGATTTTATAATACCACGGGATGGATATCTTGCCTTGTGTCTCACTTGAAGACTTGGAGATCCACTACAAGGAGGTTTACAACAACAAGGAGCAAGAGCTAGGGGTTGTCACCGAATCACGCTTCGAAAGTATGATTTTCTAATTCTTGTATGCTCTCTTTAATATAGGGATCATGTTAGATTTAATTAGAATGGTCCTAGCTTGTTTTTCATGCTCTCTACATGCTTAATATTATTATACATACAGTTTTCCGTTACGTATTTTGCATGTATTTAGCACGAATTTTCAACATGGTATCAGAGCCATGATTCCATCTAATTGAATCTTTACATGCATATCTAACTCATAGACGACTTTGTACTTGCTTCTAATTACTAGTTTAATTAAAAGATGTTTTAATGAAACTAGTTAATTAATACAATGTACTTGCTTCTAATTACTAGTTTAATTAAAAGATGTTTTAATGAAACTAGTTAATTAATACAAGTTGCTTTGTAATTAGTTATACTAGTTGTTGATTCAAAAATATTATTTTTGGCTCATAAGTTTTTAAGAGTAAAAACACTTGTATAAATTGCAAAACACTTATTTACAACTAGTGTAGTTGTATGTTAGAAGCATGATAGTTCTATTTGAGTTAGAATAATCTCTATGTTATCTAGTTTTCCAATTTGTTACATAACTAGATAGATGCATATTTCTTAATGTTGATTAAGTTATATATTTTATATTATCTTGCGTGGATGTTATGTTTATGGATGGTAGTGGACAATGATTCTCTTGCATTTATTGTATTGATGTAATATAACTAGAAATGTAATATTATTTATGAAATCTTCCCTCCTCGAGCATGGGCTACGCCTACGGGTTAAGGCACTTGCTCACCGATCATGGGCTACGCCTACGGGTATAGGCCCTTGTTCGGGTGGGGGGTATGGTTGTTTAGTTAAGTTATTTCATTTATAGTTTTTATTTTACATTCAATGCAATATTATTACCTATCCTACGAGATGGTTTTTCCATAATAAATGGGGTTTGCACATCCTATGAATATGTGATTGTAATAACACAGGATTTGTAAGGGAGCTTGCACTGTAATGAGTTGCAAATTGCTTACCAAAATGTAATTAGTGTAGTTGCATTGTATTCCTTAAGTTGTCCACTACCATTCC